CTCTCTCTCTATACAAATGTTTCAACTAAAAATAAATCTTTTTTAAAAACTGTCAACACAGACATTTGCTTTTTCATGGAATTAAACTCTAAATGGCTGCTTGGAAAGTGCCACCAATAATCCTCCTGAACGCATCCCCTCTCATGTACACACATGCTGATGTGCATACCCCTCACTCAGCTGAGCTGTGTCTTCTGGGGTCCAATGCCAAGTGTACTCAGAGGCCCTGCAGTCCCTGGAGAAACAGCTCAAGTCAAGGATGGAATCGCACGCCTGCTCCAGAGCAGAACACCCCTCTAGTGTTCTCTTTGCTGCAACACAGCCCCTTTCCATGAGTGACTTTCGTCTCCATACAGATCTCCCACGTCTTCGTCTGCAACACAGCCACGTTCCCTGGGTGACTTACCCTTGTTTCCATCCACAGCTTTCCCACGTCCTTCCTCTGGGCGGTAGCTTCCTGCAGTCCTTCCTCTTCGTACACTGAGTCTGTCCTCCTACAGGCCAGCAGCATCATGCTCACCCTGTGAAGCCTGGGGCACACAACCTTTGGTCGGTGGAGTTTCAACCAGGGAAGAACATAGAAATACTTGTGTTCCTGGGTCAGGCAATAAAATGCCTCATACCTGCCTGGGTTTGAGTTAAGAGAATCCCCGGGACTCTCTTAGGCGTGCAGCAGCTTGAAGCCCAGTACATGTGATTCTGATTAACATACTTTTGGTTTTTTACCTAAAGACAGAGTTCCAAATGCTTTGTGTACACAGGAATCAGAGGGGAAGCAGGGAATCCTGCTAAAGTGCACATTCAGATCCCACCTTCAGAACCCAGATTCCACCCAGGGTTTCTAACAAACCACCCCCCGACCCCAGGGCCACACTGAGAGCAATGCGGCTTTAAAAAACACCACTGAATGTCCTTGCAGTGGCACGTGGGCAACCCCAGATCAGCAGCAGGGATACCACCTGACAATCGGGCTGACCCAAGACCTGCAATTCATCAAGATTCACAAGTGGTTCCTAAGCACCTCAGTTAGTGAAGCTGATATGAGAGAATCAAGGATCAAATTCACAAATTGTTTTCAGTCAGGAAAGTCAGAAACAGAAAAGAATTGCTTTTTGATTACTAGATTTGAAACCTACAGTAAAGGCGAGCTGGCATCAGAGTAGGGACAGTGACCAACTTACTTAGAAACCAGCCTCTTTAAACTTCAACTCCCTCTCTACACGGTGAGTCAGCACCGAGACTCAGCTGGGCCCACTCCACACTCCGAGTGTGAACAGCTGTCACATGCTTTCATCTTTCTCTACTTTCATTACCTCTCATGGTCACCAGGTCAGCCAATCTGGGGACCTGACAACAACCACTGGACTCAGGGGCAGGGTTTAAATAGTGCAGGTAAATTGATGAACATCTGGCAGCCTCCATCAGAAAGCAAGAAAGGACCATACGTTAGATCTCCCCTGCTCCTTGTGAAGGAGACCCCACTGTCTGCCTCATGGTTAGCGATCTAACAAGAGATGCCATTACTTCTATAAAATCAGTACCTTGCAAGGTATATGACACGGAATAAGGATAATTTAATCCACGCACTTAAAGATGCTCATTGCAAGACTGAAAACAGTAAGGCGAATGAAAACAGGAAGTTATCCAGGTTGTCAAAGCCCAGAAAGAAAGGGAGAAAACAATTTTGATCGTGAGGAACCCCCAAAAAGCAATCCGAATCAGAGTGATCCCAGGTCCTAGCTCTCTGTTTCTTTTAGTTTGGTTTTCACAGGCTTCTCTTGGGAAGAAACTGCTTACTGCAGACAACTGCTTGCATTTGTTGATCAATAGATCCCGGAACAGCCGACAAAGATAGGGACCATGATCAGAAGAGACGGCATTGGCACTGATGAATGTAGACAAGGCCAATGCAAATGCCATGTTTAATTTGCATTTTTGTGAACCTAGCAATCTCTGAAAACTATTTTCAAGTCATGAAATATGAGGAGAGCAGCTGGCTCCATTTCTAGAAATACTTCTGACACCACTGCATCCTGTTTGCAACCTATCCCACTCAAGTTCAGTTTTCTTCCTTTCCTCCCATGGCAGTCCTAACATCCTCCCACAGTCCTTCTTGCTGCTGTGCTCGTGGTAGGGCTTGAAGTTGTAATCACCAAAGCAGACCCTTCGTTGAGGTCCTACTGTGTTCCAGGCAGCTCATGGGTTTTCTGAATCCTTACAATTAACTATTTCTTATTTATAAATAAAATCATGAAAGCTCAGGGAGGTAACAAAATCACAGAGTTGGCAAGTGAATGCTGTGGAATTCCAGCCTACATCTGCTCAAAACCCAGGATTTGGGCCCGGCGCGGTGGCGCAAGTGGTTAGGGTCCTCGCCTTGCACGCCCGGGGTTCCCATATGGGCAGCGCCAGTTCTAATCCCGGCAGCCCCACTTCCCTTCCAGCTCCCTGCCTGTGGCCTGGGAAAGCAGTCGAGGACGGCCCAAAGCTTTGGGACCCTGCACCCACGTGGGAGACCCGGAAGAGGCTCCTGGCTTCGGATCGGCATAGTATCGGCTGTTGCGCTCACTTGGAGAGTGAATCATCGGATGGAAGATCTTCCTCTCTGTCTCTCCTCTCTGTATATCCTCCTTTCCAATAAAAAAATAATAAAAATAAATCTTTAAAAAAAAATGAAACCCAGGATCTCTGACCGAACCTTCCCTCCCTTTGGATTTTGTTTTCTTACCCTTTTGGCCACTGTGCTTGGGGTAGCCCCTACTCCCCACACCCAGCTCAGGACGAGTACCTAACGCTCCGTCTCTTCTCTCCATGTGGGATCCAGCGTTGCACATCCCTCCCTCACTTGATAGCCACAATCTTGGTGCCTCTAAGACAGTTTTTTTTTTCTCTTGACAATTTTAAATGGATTTCTGCATTCCAAAAACATGTACTTACATTAGAGCTTAGGAGTTAAATCCAAGTGCTTTGCCAATGTTCTTTGATGTTCAGAAGAAAGGAAAATAAGGGCAAGCCACAAAGGATGACCACAAGCATGCTTATAAAAGGCATTTTTACATGGATCCATTTGATAATCACTTTTCTCAATCCTGTCAGTCATGTACTGGCAGTTCTGGTACTCTAGGACGATTTTCTTAAAACAACAGCTAACAGTATATTTACTCAAGTAGAATTCACAGGACCACAATGTGTAGATACAAACTCTGAATACAGAGAATCAACAGGGAACCCATATTGGATCTACACATGCTCACACTTAAATGATGGTGCCATGTCTTCTCTTTATACTGCGAAGAAAAACAAAAATTCCAATTGACCGGGGTAATTTGCATTGAGGATCCACTGCCAACATCTTCAGATAATTCTGCCTGGAGATGCAGGATTAGTCACCTTGGTGATTTCCTCACACCTGACTAGCAGTGCTACCTTCAGTTGTCTCCCACTCCCCTGCCCGTGCCTGATGGCAAAGGGGGGGTCCATCTGGACAGACCAGGGCACTCAGCCTGATCTCCAAACACACACATGTGATATCAATCCTCCGGGAGACAGGAATGTGATCTTCAGTGTTGAGAAAACAGCAGAACATTCCCCCAAGGCCACAGCTTAGGGACACACAGGTCTCCTATGTCATCATGCTGAGCACCCTCATGTCTGAGGGGATCTTCTCTAACGTCCCGACTTCTTTTGAAAGGATGATTTGCTCTGACTGCACTGATTCTTTTTTCTGTAACCTTAAAGCTCTTGAATTCGGACAGATTCAACACAATAAAGACTTCCTATACTAACTGGAGGACATTCCCTGAAAATTCAGGAAACTTTTCCTAAATTCCATGTTACAGCAAGAAGTGAGAAGAAGAAGGAAAGGCAAGGGAAAAAAAAGAAAAGGAAAGAACCCATGTCCAATTTACATTTCCAAATCCAAAGAACAAAACAAGTCAACTAATATATGTTCATCTTTATTCCGTAACAGACATAAATAATTTTATGAATTCTTATGACTGATACAAAAGACAAAATAAGATGCACTGAATTTAGATATGGGATATTTGAATTGAATGTTAGCTAGACAGATAAATATATACAATTCAAGGAGTTAAGGCAAAACCAGATAATACTTCAAACACAACAAAAGACTTGAAAAATAGATATAATTAAAAACAAGGGTATCCCATCTCCAGTTAATAAAGTGATCGTGTCTAAGGAAAAAATTCCCTTAGGTTTTTAATAAAGAGGTTATTATCAATCATGTTAATTAAAGTTGAGCAATAAAGTAGAAGATTTCCCGCAGAGCAGAGCCATTTTGTCAAGGACTGGGGATTGAGTGGTTAGAATTCGGGTAAGCAACTTTTTCCTTGTCAGTTTTATGATCTATTCTTCCTATTAGAAAATACAATTTGGAAAATACGACTCTTTCACGTATATAATTAAAATACAACTATGAAGCTCTTTTCTCTTTAAGGGAAGTCATGTTGGTGATCTCAAAGCCAAAGTGAATTGGCGGGCAGGCCATCCATGACCTTATTGTGGAGGAAACACAATGCCAGTCACCTTAGGAGAACAAACCAAACTATCTCAGGGGAATTAAAATGGGGAGTCAGTACGTCAACACAGCGCACAGTTCTTTGGCAGTATCACACTAATCACTGATTGAAGTTGAAACTTGAAAATTTTCGAATGTTTACTTGCCGGTCTTTTCAAAATAACTAAACAAATGAAAATCCACAACAACAACAAATTCATTATTTCCAGGAAATCAAATTCCAAGTAAACCTGGCAGGCAGCTTTTGACTGTTAGATGTAATCACAGATAGGTTTTATCAGCTTTGAGTCCCAATCCAAGTATACTGAAATACACGCACACGCACACACCACACACACATCTGTAGACCTTTGTATTGGTTCGGGCAGGTCTAGAATCCTTATAGAGAATCCATATCCAACCACGAGATGCCAAGAAAGACATCAATCCAAGGATGAAGGAACAATCTTCCAGTAACTCAGAGCGGGACTACCCCTGACCAGGATAAACACCATGGAGAGACGGAATTCTAGAGGGGGAACACCAGGAAGCCAGAGAATGTGGAATACTGCCAGCCTCCAACCAAGTTACCTTTCTCCAGTTTCAGGTAAACCTTATCCTCCTTATCTAGGTACAGTAGAACCCCATTGGTGGCAGCTTCACGAGTAACGTCCTTGTCTCCAGCAAAGGCGGATATTACTGGTTTTCCATTTAACATTAGGTTAACCTAGAAGGGAAGCAAAATCAACTGAGAAGCTTCTCTTTAAATGAATACATTTCCTGGGGATAATACAGAACATTGATGATGACAGACCTTGTCAGATGCCTGCTGTTTAGAATGCATAGCCCTTTCCTTTTGAATTAATCAGCTGTGAGGGGATCAGACATTGCATGTATATCAACATGATGGTTTTCATTTCCTTCATAGGCACTCTCTTAAATGCCTACCAAAGCACATTGTCCATGGAACGCCACCTCGCCATGTGGAAGCGGGCTCCCTTCTGCACACGTTGACCTCTTCCATTCCACAGCAGTCTTTCAGTAAGAAAACAAGCTTGTGGTTTCCAAGGCCCTCAGTAAAAAAGTTCAGTGACTACTGGCCTCATAAACCCGCAACCAATTCTACTAATATCCTTCCAACTTCCAGGAGCACAGGGCTGAAAAATCACCTGAAATAATGCAACTTGGCTATGCTTTACTTCTATGTTTTCCCTGATAATAAATGTGAACTTAAAAATAACAATCCCTACTCTAATTGATGATTTTAACATGTATTTAGCAAAAAATCTACTCAAAATATTAACTTATTTTCCATACAACAATTTTGATGATACTGTGTCAACTATTAGAGAAATTTTGATATCGGGGAGGTCTGAAAAGATTTTCTATGTAAGTAAATTTGTGTACTGTTCACTGATTTCAAGTTAAAAGTTGTAATAAATAAGGTTGGAGTTGATCAGTGTATTCATTCACCGTGATATGTGAGTGCATAAGACACCAATTCCCACAGAACTAAGACACAATGTCAACACTGAACATGTGTGCAGCTGTCTTGAAATTCCACAAACACGCACGGATAACACTCGCTGTGAGCGCATATGTGTGTTCAGAAACCAGTCCACTCACTGCTGCCTGTGAGAGGAAGATTAAACTTTTTATCCTAGGCAACACAACACAAAATACATATTAAACTGTGGGATTGTGACTGACAAGAGTTCACCAGCATCAAAACAATAAAAACCTCAGTGTTAGCGTAGTACATCCTTTCTTATTTAAAAAAAAGTGTCTTGAGGGAAGGGCATTCGGCATAGCTCTTAGGCTCCACTTCGGGGACTCTGTGCCCCCCAGTTCTACAACTGGCTCGGCCCAAGCCCTGTTTCTGTGCCCCCCAATTCTAGCTTCCCAAATGTGCACCCTGGAAGTGGCAGGTGATGCCTTAAGGAGTGAGTCCCCACCACCACATGGGAGGCGTGGACTGAGCTCTTAGCTCCTGGGAGTTTGGGGAGCAAACAGCAACTGGAAGTCTCCTTCTGTTCTCTCTGTGCTTCAAATAATGTAAAGAAGTAAAACTGCTTCAAAATATGTTTAAAAGTATATCAACTAGTTGTTCCTTCATGTATTTACTTTTTAAATTACATATATGTTTAAATGGGAAGGGAGGAAGGAGAGTAGGAGAGAGGAGCCCTGTACCTACATACTGCATCATGGAAAATAATAATAAAAACGTAAGAAAGAAAAGGAGGAAAACACTCATTTATCTTGGAGGCAGAGCTCTTATCTGACGCAGCATCCCCCACACTCCTGCCGTGGGAAGTCCTGGTCCGTCCTGAGAACTCAACCTGGGTCTGCTGTATGAGTAGCAGGGACCCAGCGAGTCGAGCTGTCCACACCGCATCCCAGGCTTCCTGACAGCAGGCAGCTGCGGTCAGCATCTGGAACATGGAATTAGCCCTAGGTATCCCAATATGGGATGCAGGCATCCTGACAACTAAGCCAACGCTCACCATGGGTTTATTCTTCAGACGTTACTGTGTCTTATGATTTTTTTAAAAAAATGACAAATTTGTTTTATTTACGTAGTATGCACTGGGTAAGTCCTGCTTGTCTTATAGATTTTTACCCTCCTACTTGAAATGGTTTTTACATAGGAACTAAATGAAATCCAGGAATTAAGAAGAGGTCTGTGTGCCTACATATTTTCTGAATTATGCTTTCTGAATGCTGATTGTTGAAGTAATAATTTCATTATTTTATTTTTCTACATGCTTTTTTGTTACATGCCTTAATGGATGTTATAAAGGAGAAAACTGGAAATTAAATGTTTTCAACACAAATTACAAAGATGGATGCTGACTTTGACAATGAAAATGCATCTTCCGACACAATGTTAAATACACACCCAGCGAAGGTGGGCGCAGTTGTGCGGAGGTGGAGGTTGTGTGGCCAGCGCACGTACCTGGATTGTCTGACTCTGGTAGACTTTAATCACGTGAAAGCTGAAGCTGTAGATTCCTTTTCTGGGTGCTACAAAGACAGACTCCAGTGTGAAAAAATTACCCACATTAACTAGGATCTACAAACAAAAATAATAAATTACAGTAAATTATTACAATGTTCTCTTCAATGAGCACAGTGTATCCTTCCCCTCCCTTCTCCTGTCTTCCTCCCACTCTTTGTATTTTCTTTCTTTCTAATTTAACAAATAAGAAACTACAGAAAATGAAACACTTAGCTCTATTTCTTTTCCCTTAAATCTCCTGGAAAGAGAACTTGCATACTAGAAGGTGCTTCTGCCTTTTAAAAATCATAGGCACACTTAAATAACAGACTGATGGAATTATAACTCTTTATGAAGGACTATACTATTGTAACAACTCGTATACATCGGGAAAATCATATGGGGAGTAGGGAATCTCAGACTCATGAAATTGTACCATAAAGTTCAGAATTCAAAAAAAATTCAAAAAATATTATAGGGAAAATAAAGCAAGAGCTTTGTATTCATACTTCAACGTCCAGCAAAGCTCCATGGCTTCAGAGGCACCTAAGTGATGTGTGAGGGCTTATAAATGTTAGTGTTACCTGGAGAGCCAGATAAGAAGGCCTCTGCCACATATTTACATTCACACTATCTGCCAGCCTCTCCAAATCCAGAGGTGACGTTTCCAAGCCAGCCAATCAGCACCTCTGGGCTCTCTGCAACCATCCCTAGACACATCACTCAGAGAAGGGGTACCCCCTCCAGCATGTGACATAATCCACGACCCAGCGACAGTTGGCACACAAGGTGACAGATGCCTGGCCCTGCCTTGCATCCCTGCTGGCCTTCTCCCAAGTTTTATGGCTGCTTATCATTATTATTATTATTATTCTATTTCTGTGAATCCAGGCCTTGATCACAGTATTTTTGGCAATGAGTTGGCTCTCCTGGCTGCCAGAGTGGAGCGTGAAAAAGGATGAAGCTTTTTGGTGGTCCACCCAACACTACCCATCATCCTCTGTCAATCACACATTCTTTACTCAAGGACTAAAGATTTTTAAAAATTTTCAAAAATAAATAGTAAGTAAATAACAATAATGCGTCTTGTACCCAAGGTGTTCTATCTGATGCTGCTGGTGATTAAATTAGCCATGAATTTCAGTAAGCGAACTCTTCAGCCAAATTTGCGAAGTCACTTAAGTCCCTTCCTCTGAGACAGAGAAGGTGCATGGGCAGGTGAAATCAACAACTGGCATTTCTGCCACTGCTCTCCAAGAAACAAAACTGTTAGTGGCACCCACAAAAGCCAACTGACCTAACAGTGATGCAGCCCCCTGCTCTGTGTCTGTTATCATGTCTTGTGAAACGGTGCCTTCTTTTTCACCATCCATACATTTTCAGAGCTTCTGTGTAGTTTCCTAACAGCATACTACTGCCTCCAAGTGCATCGGAACGTGGAGACCGTCAGGCAGGTGTGCTGGGCTCATCCTGACTTGAGTGTTATAGGGAGTTTAAGGGAGTCCACTTCTTCCCTGCACTCCTGGTTCCTCACCCAACCTCCTAATGACGGCCTTTCATCAAGCCCCCAGAGGCTCATCATCACCAGCAGAGGTTTGCTTTTTGTCCAATGCACATTTAAAATAAACGGAGGTGCTTAGCAGGGACTCTCTGATTCCGAGACACGAAACATGTACCATAATTCATCAGCAATCATGGAAATGGCTGATTAGTGCTGGCTACACATAAAGCTGACTGTTGACGTTACATGGTAATTGGAGCGCCCCACAACATCAGGATGGATAACTAATCATGTCTTGTGGTCTCTCATCTGCATGGCTCCCACAGTAGAAGAAAAAACCCTTGTCTTCCAACTGATGCAAAGGTCATTGCAAGGAATGCCTCTCCTGGGCAAGATACTGCAGTGTCCACAGTATTCCAAGCTTTAATGAATGCCTTGAAGCACAAGCCAGGGGTGGGTTTATCTCCATCAAAATGGAAAATACTGCACCAAAACCCAAAGGGGACTACTGAAGTCTTTTAAGATCTTGGCTATTCAAGAGTTAAGACCCAGAAGAGACATTCTCTACCTGGGACCAGCTGCGGAGTGCTACTTCAAAAAAAATGAAGTCGGGGCGGGGATGGGGTGTAAATGACCCCTCCAGTCTTCCCCACACAGGCTGCAATACCACCTGCCCAGTGCGCTTGCACACCATGGCTTTGCTGACGGCCATCAAGTGTGACTTTGGAATTTAAAAGCCTGGGTGCCACTGAGGTTCTGCCCCCTGAGTCCTCCCTAAAGCTACCCCAATATCCTGGGGTTTCTCTTCACAACAAACCACCGCTGAGCACCAAGTCGTTAAAAAGCAACCATGGCTTTCCTGTGGCAGAGCCTCCCCCAGCCCCTACCCTCCTTTCTTCCCAGTAATTTACAACTCCCTGAAGGGACAGAACCCCGGTGAGGCAAATTCAGCTCCCCAGCGCTTCCCTCCGGGAGAGCAGCGCATCTGCCAGTCCCCTTCTCTTCCACTCCTAGGAAACTTTTCTCCAAGTCCCAGAGAAGGCCTCTCTCTCTCCCTAAGCCGATTCAGCAGCAGCACCGCGAGGCCAGACCTGACCACTGGCCCGGCCGCAGCCCTCTGGGCCACCACAGGATTTTCAGCATAGAGCCGAGCTGTCTTCCCGGAGGAGCTCCTCTGCTGGGGACAACAGAGCAAGCCTTCCTCTCACAACTGCGGGGACACTGGACGTGAGGCCAGGTTCTGGGCAGATTCTGATGACCCAGGGTCCTTTCACACACCCACTGACCTGTTGCTGTCCAACTTGTCCAGAACTCCTGCTGCCTGCCTCTGCACCTCAGCGGCCTCTTTTGGAGGCCGGGGGGGGGGGTGTGGAAACAGGGCCGCAGGTAGGGGCCACTGTTAGAAGTTTCAGACCCAGACCTGTTGGGGGATGCAGGTGACCACAAGAATCCCCATACTCCGAGGAGGAGCAGGCAGCCAGATCCCGGGTGCCCGGGCACCGCCCACCCCCCTCGGTGCCCTGAGTCCCTCCTGCTCTGACCTGATCGAAGTAGATGATGCGTGTCTTGTTGCTCATCTCTGACGGTTCATGGTTGGTACTCCGCACCGCGGAGAAGGCGACCTTGGAGTTGGCGGCCCGGACTGATATTCCCAGAGGGGACGATGAAGAGCCCTTGGCGTCTGTGGCCGGATTCGAGTCGCACACCACCAGGCACTTGCCCTCCAGCACGATGGGCTCCGTGTCGTTCTGTGCCCAAACGGGCAGCCCCGGCAGCAAGAGCACTAGCAGCAGCACGGCGGGCAGCACGGTCGGCACCACGGACAGCGCCCGGCGTGCAGAGCCCATGGTGGCCGCCCGGCAGCTGCAGCCGGCTGGCGCTTCTGCTCGCCCGCGCCGCCTCCTTCCCCCGGATCCCAGCTCAGGGAGCCGCCGGCGGCTAGATCGACAGCGCTGCAGAAACGGCGGCGGTGCGCACTCTTGAACGGATGCCGCGGTCTGAACTCTCCGTCTCCGCTCGAGCTCTCTCGCCGGCTCCGCTATCTTTGTCCTTTAAAGAGCTCATGCAGAACCCCCTACCCTACCCTCCTCCGCCCAAAAGGCAGCGTCGCCTGGAGCCTCTGTCCTTGTCCGGGCTTCTAGACACCTAAAAGTCACCAAGCCCTCTCCTTCGCCCCTCAGAAAACACAAAGCATCCTCGCCCCCCAGAAGGAAACTGCGCCAGGTGAACCACGGAGTAGGAGACACCGAGTGGACGCAAAGAAAAGCCGCAAGCGTGGCAGGTGCCAGTGGTGCGGGTGCCGGTCCTGTTCGCGTCTGCCTTGCAGCGGGGCTGGATCAGAGGCAGAAGGTGGTCGCAGGACGGTGAAGAACGCGAGGCTGTGCTCCCCGCCAGTACGCCAGCGACTCCCGCTTTCGCGTGGCCAAAAATTCCCCAAAGCCTGGTGTCACAAGCACGCGGGCAGGTAGGTGGACAGCGACCATCCAGCTTGACCCGCACCGAAACTACAAATTCGTGGGATCAGTTCCAGGGTGCCGGAAGCAGAGCGTAGGATGGCTCGGTCGCCGGGGTCCCCTCCTGACTGGCCGCACGCCCCAAGCCCCTGCACAACTTTCTCTCGGCGCAACCCGCAGAGCGCCAAGAGGGCTCGCCTATTTATAGGAGTGCCGCGTCCGTGGGGCTCCGCTTACTGCTCAGCCTCCGGGCTTCGGGGAAACGGGAAGGCGCAAATGGCCCCAACTGACACGCTCCAGCCAGGTGCTTAACGCGCCCCGGGGCAAGCGGGACGCGCAGCACTGCCGGGTGGCGAGGTCCTCGGTCACTCACCCGCCGCAAAGCGCGTGGCGCGGAGAGTGTGCGGCCAGAGAGCGGCGCCCACGGCCTTACGCTCGCTCCAGCTCCGCGCCTGTTCTCCCCTTCCTCGGGGTCGGCCCGCCGAGGGGCAGGAGCTCTCTTCGCCCCTCCCCAGCGCGGAACTCACAGCCGAGCGCCCTGAAAAACCGAGCGCGGCGCCGCCAGCCCGACTCGCCGAGGTGGATGAGCCGCAGCTGATCGGCTCGGCACGGCGCACTTGCCGGGAACCTGGAGACCCGCGGGCGTTCCTGCGGCGCCCGGCCAGGAGCCCGTCCAAGCCGAGCCTGTCGGCCGGGAGAGCTGCAGAGTCGGGGCTGGGGGGCGGCTGGGAGGAGGTGCCTGGTTCTTCTCTTCCGCTTCCAGAGGATGAACCTCGGGAGCCGCCGGGGCGCGCCCTATCCCGCCCAAGCAAATCTGCCCCAGGCAAGGCCAGGCCAAGAGTGGGTTTTATGAAACCGAACCTCTATAAAAACGCCAGTCTCGCCCCTGAAAAAGCAGCCTCCCTGTGCCCTGTGGATGCGCCCCCACCCCGGGCCGTGCCTTGCCACCTAGCTGCCATCTCGACCTCTGATTGGCGAGCGTTCGCTATCCTCTTCCACAGCTCTGGGAGGCAGGACTTGTTCCTGTGACTGGCTGGCGTGAACTTGGCCAAGTCATTTGCTCTGGGTGCGAGGGCACCAGTTGCTAGCTAAGCACCCCGTCTGGTTTCCAGTTCTGTGGTGCCAAGTCCTTGGGTGCCTGATTCTCCCTTCTTCCCTGAGAGAAGGGATTCTCCTTAGCTCGGTGTTCAAGCCTTTCTCAGCGGAAATCAGACTGAGAGCTTCAGCCTGGTGGGCTCTGCAGGAGGGCCCAGGCCGAGCCAGTTGTTGACAGAGAGGCGCACCTGCTGTTGAATAATTCCCCTCCTCCTCCCTTCCCGCACTATCCTTCATCTGAAGCCAGATTCCTGACTCCCCAGGGACCTTCAGGCTCCACCCTAGCGGGGCCAGCACCAGCCTCGGCTTGCAGGGACTGGTCCTGGGCTGTCCGCCACAGTATTAAACATCACTCCTTGATCCAGGCTACAAACCAAGGGGTGAGCTGGTGCTCTCTCCTAAGCCCAACACAGCTCTCTCTCCCTCTCTCTCAATCTCTCTCTCCCTCTCTCTCAATCTCTCTCTCGGGATCTCTTTCAACCCTGGCCAGCATGTGTGTGAGTAACAGCTGACAGATTTTTTCATTTCCCGCGCTCTTCTGAGAACAGGTGCTCAAATCCAACCTGGCTTCTCTCTCACAGCTGTTCAGCAGCAGGAACTCGGCTCCTTCCGTTTCAAGTCAGGAGGAGTTTGAGAAAAGAATGCCACTGGCTACATCACTGCTAAGCAGGAACCCACCATCTTCCCCATCACCCCAACAGGTTCTCTCTGATTGTTGGTCTTCTCCAGGCTCTTCCTTCCTGCAGTAACTCGGATTTAAAGAACTTCTCCTCTTCCTCCTCTTTCCCTCACTGTTTGTAGCACTGAAATCTAGTGGTGTGATCATATTGGGAACCCAGGAATTGACTAAGAACTGACTGGATGCTTTCAGATGGAATGTTGTCTGTAAGTCACCCACCTGATAGTATACACTGACTTAAATGGATCTCTCAGTAAAACTTCAATTAAAATCTTCCTGGGTGATTTGTGATGAAAGCCTTGGATCCTTCCTAAAGGATCCCCTGCTATTTAAGGAATTCTGAAGATGTGGAACATGACATTTCCATGGCCTCCAGTGACAGAAGCTGCTTAATGAACAGGGTTAGCTCTGGATTCTAGAACTGTCCACCCATGTGATAGCAGAAGCCCGAGGTGGAGTTGCTGGTTGTCTGGCTGAGTTGGAGCCGCCAGCTTTTCTCTCTAGGATCAGAATGAGATTCCACAGTGGCTTCCAGAAAGCACTGGTGCCACAGAGACAAGCTCTGGAGCTTCCAACTGGTAGGCCATTTAGGGGCCACCTGCAAGCTGAAGAAGAGGAGTGGGAGGGAGGGGTCTGGAGGACTGGACACAACACAGGCAGAAGCTGACCGTGTAGACACAGCACGTCAGAGAACGGGAAGGAACAAACCGCCCCAGTGCCAGGTTTCTGGAAGCCCTCCTCTATCCTTGGACTACTACTTGGACTAGTTTTAGAAAACCACTAGTTTCTGGCCTTCAAGAATCCTCCTTGGAAGAACGTTCCGGAAATTGTACCATGCATCTCCTGAAAAACATTTAGCAGCCAATCTGCTGCCTCTGTTGGGAGAGTTGTCACGTGCCCCTCTCCATTCCCACCATTCCCATGAAGAAAGAAAAATCATCGGGTTCTCTCCAGCCTTCACGGAAGTCTGTTTCCTTTTTTTTTTCTTTTCCCGTTGAACATATCTACGTAGATGTGACTCAAATGTTCCTCCTTTGTGAGTATCCCAGGATGTATTTGATTCCCACTGTACTTTTCTTTTTTTTACTGCTAGACCTTTAGTAAGGCTTCATTTCTTTGCAGTTGGGCTCAACCTTACAGGAAATTAGGATCTGAACTAGAAAAGCTATTTCTGTGGTTAGTAAACTTGATGACTACTTGTCTAACCATCTCAAAAGAAGGTTTCCAGGAAGCCCTAAACGGTAAGGCTCATGAGCCATGTTCTGCATCCCTAAGAAGGCAGGCAGACACCCAAGCGGACAGCTCCCAGGGTCCCTGGCGCTGCGTGCAAGTCTTACATAGCACTGCAGCCACAGGTCAGTGGTGGGAAGGTATCAGTGCACACTGAGGTTCACGCCAACCCCGCCGAGTCTACCGAGGAATATGACCACCCTTTGGTCACTGTGCTGATGGGAAACAGCTGAAGGTGAGGAAGCTCTCTGACTGAAGACATGTGAGTTCTGGAAAGTTCCAGAGCTGAGTTGAGTGAATCTGCACAGCTGCTTCTGGAGAGAACCAAATTACAGACCTGTTTTGTATGACAATGGAGTCATGGGGACATTTTAATTGGTTTTCTAATTTAAAAATTAAAACAGTTCCTCTGTACCTTCTTGGCCCACGGAGGTGTACATCCAAGACACAAACAGGCAGAGAGACTTTCCCCTCACTTCGGGAAACTCCCCATTGGACTCTCCCATACTACCTTGTGTTTGCCCCAGTCCTTGTATTTATCGCATTTTTAAAAAGTGATATTTATTTGCTGTGTTTTCCATTGACTATTAACTCTTCAGAATAGAACTGAGCAAAGAGGAGTTACACATAAATAAGTTAATTAAAGTAACTCACCACAACTCTTATTTCTCATAAAGTAAATAACATAACTATATATATATATACTCACTGTGATATAAGCATGATAGGAAACTAATATGCTTCAGAAATGTGTGCGGGTTTACAATGTTTTGTCTACCCTTGGTTTCTCATAATGAAAGCATGATGAAGCACAAAAAGGATGTATTGGAAGGACCATGTCTTACAGAGTCCAGTGGCAGAGCTGAGCGTTGGGACTGTAGTGAAGCCCCTTTCTCTCTTTCCCTTTCTCTTTCTCCCCTCCTCCCTCCCTCTCTGCCTGTCTCCTAGGGACAGCTGTGTTCTTCTTTTTGCTCACTACAATTTACCTTTCTCTGAGGTCTGCATCATGGGAAATCAGAACAGAAAGTCCCAACTTCTACATAGCAAAGCTCCATCCATCTAGAGGAAACTTCAAGATCCCAGAGAACACACTCATTTCCTTACCTGGGCTCATGGCTCCCACCCCCTAACTCAACCACCTTACCCGGAGAAACAAAACTGCACTGCGCCCAAAACTGTTGACCCAAGAGTGAGGTGAATGGAAAAGTGGGCACGAAGGTGGTGGAGGACAGGCCCCAGCTGGGCACTGTAAGCAATACATGCTGAGGAGAGAATGAGCAAGAGAGATTACTTTGAATTGTGCTAATCCCTGTTCCATAAATAAATAAATAAAATAAGAAAGAATACATGAAAAGGTACATAGCAAATTGTTAACTTTAAGAGTATGTGG